TGATGGCAGATTCCTCTGAGAAGCTCTGCCTACTTCTGCGCCCAGGTCTCAGGATCCGCAGAGGTGCAACCTTCATGTGCCGTCAGCTTGTGGCCTCACGCATGGATTGCAGCAGTGGTGCCAGTCCTGCAATATTGCGGGCTCAAAGCCTTGCTCTCCCTTGGAGTTCCTCTCTTGCACGCGTGCTACTGCTAGGGCAGAATGGGTCGCGAGAAAGTGAGGAAGAAGCCAGCCAAAAAGCACCGACGGGGTACGTTGGACATGAAGCGGCGAGCCGTCAGTGCACGTTTGCGCCGCGCGTCTGGTGAATCCGTGCCTAAAAGCCATCGCTGGATGCTGGACTTTCAAGGTGCCGGCCTCAAGAAGATTCTCCAAGCCTCGGAGAAGCTGGCCAGCATGAAGGAGAAGGGCTTGGAAGCGGTCTCGGCAAGGGTCCTGAGCACAGGCTTGGAGCCTCACGAGCGGCATGTGCAACTCCTGGGCGCACCTGAGAGCCTCGCAGACAAGCCGGAGTTGTTGCTGTACAGCCAGATGTGCGACTGGATGGCCTTGGTCCAAGCCGCGAAGGCCCAAGTGAGCCGTTTCTTTACAGAGCTGGAGGCTCGAGATTTTTTCGTTCCTGTGGAGACAGACACTGACAGTGATGACGAGAACTGTTGGGCTCCCGTGCTACTAGGTCCAGCTGCAGATCTGGGAAGCACTGACTAAGTGAATCCAAAACGCTCCCGAGCTGAGACATGAGCTGAGTGCCCGACTCACTTCGAATAGGCACCTGGAATATAGCTCAGAACCCCGAAACCTGAATTCTGAAAAGCCTGCAAGCGTAGTATTCACTCGTGCATCAGCAAGCCGCAGCCCCAAAAACGCTGAAAACGACAGCTGTTGTGTCAGTGTGCCTCCCTCTGCAGCATGCGAACTTTTGCCAAGTGAGTGCATTTCACAAGTGCGAAGAAAGTAGTTTGCATTGACTGCCGCGCGCATTCTGCGATCTCTTTACACGTGTCATGCACAACAAGCCCCTTTGGTCTCTGGCCAGGTGTGCGTGCTGTACAT